GTTCACCACCTTTCACCCCCCCAGAGGTTTGAGATGCCAGAACCAAAAGCTGACACCACTGCTCTGCAGACGTGGCTGAACGACAAGCATTTTCAAAACCCTGAAAGTGCATTGTAGAAATGCAAGACAAGAAGGGAATAAACAACAAGGAATCATGAACCATAAGCGATGCACGTGGTCTCTCTTACATTTATTCATCGCAAACGTCGGTCTGTATTTTATGACTTTTGCTCCTGGACATAGCATTTCCCTTACAGGTTTCAATCCATCTTCCAGCCACAGACAGTTCAGTTTTCAGCCGCCGTCCAAGGATATGGTTAAATAGCTGTATTAGAATATATGCATTTATGCAATCTTGCAAACATTGGAGACGGTCGAGGTCAAAGAGATTACGGCGCCCAAGCACGTAAAGAAAATTATTTGGAGCGAAGGTCTGCGGGGACACTTTCACCATGAAAAACTTAGAACCAGTGGGAGCACACAGCCGCCTCCTCCAACCTGGCATCCTCCAGATGCTTTGAACAACAACACCCATCATCCCCACACCAGCAGGTGATGATGGGAGCCGTAGACCAAGGCATCAAAAGAGTTCAAGGATGGGGAAAGCGGCTTGAAAGAAAAGTTGACGGCAGAGCAGATTCAAAGTGAAGAAAAGCATTCGATACGTAGCGGAAGTGGGTCAGAGAGAAATGTTTGTTCCCCTACCTGCCGTTCGATAACAAGTAGCAGCCAGGGACTGGAAACCTGACTTCTTTTAATACGACAATCCCAGAATCCCACAGCCAATATGTTCAGATCATAATTAGAGACCGGAAAAATAACACCCCCAAATTCTGGTTATTACCCTTGATTCTTTAATGCAGCCTCTGTGTTTTTATTATTGATATCCTTCAATACTCTCCCACATGGTAAACTAGCTGCTTCCACTCCTGTGGGCAAGCTGTGGGGTCACAGGGCCGGGATTTAAAAGGCCAAAGCCCTAGAAGGTTTGATGTGGTAGGATGATGACATCATCCCATGTCTGCTTTAGGAAACCTTCTTCTCACATCAGCAATGGTAGGGAAATAATAGATTTTCCGAGCACCACTCTCTCAGTATAAACTACTCCTGTTGCTATACAAGGTATTCTGGAGTTTCTTGGTCTTGACTAAGCAATCAGGACCTGTTGACTTTACAAAGGACCTGCTCCTTGTGGAGGATGAAAACAGATAGAACTGGTTTGTTGGTATTGATCCACATCACTAGCAGCATTTTTTTTTTCTTTTAAGGGTATAGGGATTGATGACGAGTGCCTGCTTTCTAACATTTGCTTTTACAACATAGGGCAGCAGAAATGCTGTGTCTTGTCTTCTCACAGGATTCAGGAGATCCGTCTGTGTCAGGACTGGTCTCTGCTGGTTTTTGAAACGGTTTCCCGTCCCTCCAACCCCATCATGATGGGCAAGCAATTTTTTTTTTGCAAGCGATTAAAAAAAAAAGAGCCACAGTCAATTTTCAAGGGAAAGAGAGCAAAGAGAGGGAAGTGTGGGAAACAATTTTACTGGGCTGACGGAGATCTGAAAATGTTATTTGGGGATTTTTCTAACAGGACTTAGGGAAAATGCAGCTTGTGTCTGGAAAGGTTGGCAATTTCCCCAGCCTGGAGGGTGCAACGTTTCATCTGTCAAACTGGCTAACCGCTCTACCCAGATGGGACGCAGAACGGCCGAGTTGCGCTTCTCCCTGCAGATGGTAAGCGGATGGTTCGGTTCTTTGACTCCCGCGCAGAGCGTGGGAAGCAAAGTTGAAGGGAAACAGGGAACTCTCCCCTCCGGATGGCCAATGTTTGCTGACAGATCATTTTTATTTCTCTGTGCTTTGGAACACATTTTGGCCTCCTTCTCTTCTACTGGAAGCCCCCTCACCGCCTGGTAACTAACACCACAAACCACTTATTTACTAGAGCCGACAAATGAGATCTAGGTTGGTTGTTGCTGTATAAGGGCAAAATGTTTGATAGCCACTGCCTTGTGCCCTTCAGCACAATGGAAGCATATCAGTACCACAAGGGAGTCATTCTAAAAGCGCAGGATCACCAAGCTGTCACTCACTGTTATCAGAAGTTAGGCAAAACCCAAAGAAAAATGAGTAAAAAGTGAAAAAGACAAGAACTTTGCAGTGCCTGAAAGACTAAGTGTTATATTTTAATGCGAGCTTTCAAGGAAAAGTCCACTTCTTCAGACATATGTGGCAAAATACAGAGTGCACACAGTAAAATATTCATGCCATTCCCACGAAAGCTCACATTAAAATATAGCAATTAGTTTTAAAAGTTTCACAAAGTTTCCCCTCCCTTTGAGTTTTGCCTGATATGCTTGCACAGACTAAAAGGGCTGGCTCTCCTAAATCTGTACATCAGAAATAAGGTTGCTTTTAAATGTGCTCTCAAAGAGGCAGTGATTACATACGCTGTCAGAGATATGATGCCAAGGAAGAGATAAGATTTTGCCTCCCTTTCTTTAACAACTGGGCTGTTCAAATGACTATTTTATCCACTGGAGGCAGCTTAATCTAACCAGACATTCTCCAGAAATCCATCGCTGGCCTTACTGGGGGCAGACACGTATCTGGTGGGCACCCAGTTAAGGAAAGCTGGTGCAAGATCTCAACACACACACACACAAACACACACACATTGTATCTGCTTCCACCTTCTTCAGTTGCCCTGAACTAATGCCTGCTGGGTCCGCATAGTCAAAGCTATGGTTTTTCCAGTAGCGATGTATGGAAGTGAGAGCTGGGCCATAAAGAAGGCTGACCGCCGAAGAATTGATGCCTTTGAATTGTGGTGTTGGAGGAGACTCTTGAGGATACTCTGGACTGCAAGGAATACAAACCTATCTGTTCTGAAGGAAATCAACCCTGAGTGCTCACTGGAAGGGCAGATCCTGAAGCTGAGGCTCCACTACTTTGGCAATTTCGTGAGAAGAGAAGACTCCCTGGAAAAGACTTCCTGATATTGGGAAAGTGTGAAGGCAAGAGGAGAAGGGGACGACCGAGGATGAGATGGTTGGACAGTGTCACCGAAACTACCAACATGAATTTGACCCAACTCTGGGAGGCAGTGGAAGATAGGAGGGCCTGGCGTGCCCTGGTCCATGGGGTCACGAAGAGTTGGACAGGACTTAATGACTAAACAACAACAACAATGCCTGCTGATGATTTAGAACCCAGAGAACAGAGTGTTACAAACAGGACGAGTGATGTCAGGTGTTATCCTCCAGGTTCAGGCCATGAGATACTCAGGTGTCAAGCCTGTACATCCAGGAGTTCCCCCCACTTTTCTAAGGCTTTTTGGATTTGATGGCACCGACAAGTCTGATCCGGTGAGATGTTCAGCCTTAAAGTGTCCTGTTTCTTAGTCAAAACTTCAGAGATATCATTTTTGAAATGGGCACATGCATCAGTGGGTTTAGATTCTTTGAATTCTAAATGACTAAACATATCTTGGGATCCAGAAGAATGTTATGCTTTAAAAATCATATTCCTGTTCTAAAATGTTGGTATTATACATGCGTGTATATTTATTTATAATACCAAAAAAATCTGCAACATTCCAAAATTTCAGGGGACATCTCAGATTTTTATTTTTAAAAGCTTTTGTACATTTTCAAATTTAATTCTTTAAAGCAGGGGTCGGGGACCTTCAGCCTTCCAGATATTTGGGGCTTTGTTTCCCAGAATCCCCAGCTAATATTGCCTGTGCATGGGGATTCTGGGTGTGATGGTCCCTAACGCCCAAAGGGCTGAATATTCTCCCGCCCTCCTTTGATGCTTACTTAACTGATGACGTTTGGGTGAAAAAACGTTAAGGCATTCACAATATACTTTGACCTATAATATGTAGGGTTTCTGTTCTCACATTTCTCTCTCTCTTTCTCCCCGCATTCCCTCCTCATCTTGGAGAGGTACCTTGTTTTTTAATTAGCAGGGATCTGGGGTGGGGGTGAGGAGCCACATAATGCCTCTTCCCAGGCCTTTTCTGGATCAATGCTTTAAGAGGTGGGAGGTTGAAGGAACACCTGGCAAGCTCTCCCTTTGGGTCTGGTGGGCAGGGATAATTGCCTTGTCGAGCCTTATTCCATTGCACCGTGCCATTGTTAACGGCACTCGTATGGAATAGTTTGAGCCATGGAGAGTCTTTTCCTTCCAGGGTTCCCGCTTAGTGGGCCGTATGGATGAGAAAAAAAAAACTTTCATCTCTGGTGGAAGCATTCCAAGAACACATTGAGGAAATGAGGAGACAGGCCATTCATTCCCCCATTGGCATGGGATTTGGGGGCGGGTGTCAGGGGCACAATGCAGTGGTGAGGCGGTCACTGGCAAATCACAAACAATCTCCTCCAGGCCAACAGTGTGGCAGGATCCTGGGGACTGCAGTTCCAACATTTAACTTGTTTCAGGGTATGGCGTAATGACCAGGGGGTCTCCAGGAACTGGAAGTGACAAAGTGTGTAGGGGAAGCTTTGGGAAAAATCATACTCGTACAGCGTCACGGAGTCTGGGTTCACAGGGTCAAAGCACTGGCAAGTTTCTTGAACAGTCAGGGAGATGATGGAGCCAGCCATCCACTTTCTCCCTCCCAAATTTCCAAAGAGAGTGGATTAGAAGTCCTGCCAGACTTGGGGTTATGGGCAGGCAGGTTCTTCAGATGTTTGTGAGTTCCAGACAGCGGCTTGGACTTGCCCGAAAAGTTACTTATTTAGATGACCTCTCACAGAACCCTCTGGCCAGTATGGGCAAGGACCATGCTAGGAGCTGTGATCCAAAGAATAAAGTATCCAGGCTCTCGCTGTGATCAATGTGGATGCCAGGCTTCGTACCAAACCTCTCCTTTCTGGAGCTGGAGAATGGTTATGGGAAGCGGGATGCTTCTGTTGTTTTGATGGCAACTAGCTGTTGAGAATTTCCAAACAAGGTGCCGTCTTCAGATGCCATCTTCTCTGGCCTGGCTCCATTTCCTAGCAGAGACTTTCTCCGGTGACCTCCACAGAGGAAGTGTGGGTGTCATCCTTAAGCTGCACTTCGGAGAGAGCAGAGAGCTCCTTTTGACGGTGCCGGCACCGAAAGGTTGTGTTTTCATCCACAAAAACATGGAAGGAGTCCTGGTCTGTTATTTAATTTATTTAATTTATTCGATTTATATCCCGCCCATCTGGTATATTCTACCACTCTGGGTGGCATACAGAATATCAAAACATTTTTTAAAAAACATAAAAACATTAGCATACAACAATAACAAATATTTTTGACATGTTTCTGCAAGTCTACAACACCCTGCAAGTTTTAGTTTGGAAAGTTATAAAGAATTCTTTGCCAGTTTAGGATAGTGGACCAAAGCTCTCTCTCAGGGAACTACAAACTCCTCACTAAACACCACATCATGACCATCATTTTAGAACTGCATAGCTGGGAGGCAACCTATGGATCATGAGAGTCCAGCCCTGGTCAAGGAAATACAGTGGAGAATTGAACTCCCAAACTCTGGCTTTGCAGCCAGACACCTAAACCACTGAGCTATCCAGCACCTGCCTCAGCAATACCTGGAAAGATTTCTTGGCTTTTAGAGGGAAGGTGTGAGTTACTTCCTCCGGGCTTCAGTAGCTGGAGAGAAAAGAGTTGCAGATCATCACAGAATCCATGAAGCAGGGATTAAAATGGAAAGATTCAAACCCTGGTCTCCAGAGTTCTAGGCCATCACTCTATCCACCACATCACGCTGGGCACCAGCGTACCCAGCACTGTTTCAGCCCAAAAACTTGCTATGTATTTTGTTGACGTGCAATTCATAGGCTGAAATCCTGTTGCACAGGTCTGCATACCTAACTGGGATGACATCAGTAGTGGCGGAAAATCACTGCTGATTGAAGGGGGGGATGTATGCAAGCTGTACACAATGTGAACTAGTTATATGCACCCCAAGGTTGCCTATGGGAGTCTTTAGTCAATAGTGATTTGGCACAACTAATGACACCAGCACTACTGTATTCTGCATGTGGAGATGTGCAACAGGATTTAGGTCACTGTCATAGGTTTTTATCAGAACCCCACTGCCCAGCCTGTAACTTTCAGGTGAACATCCAGATGGAGAATGATTGCACGCCTGTTTTTTTTTTTTAAAATGCACATAGTGGCAGCCTGGTACAGAGAGAGCCAAGGATCAACCATTTCCACTGGGCCCCAAGCCTTTCAGGGAAAAAACCCAAGTTATTTCTAATGAAAAGATGCACTTGACATTTCACTCAAAGCACTTCTGGAGGAGCCTTTTATCTCTTGTGATAATGGAACAAGGACTTATGAGGCATCCGGCACGTAGAAATGCCAGGCCATTCAGAGCCTGGAGGGACGCGGTAGCCCTTTCGCTACCCTTTCCGTGCCTCGTGAGTGATGTGTGGGTGTTTCTGGGAAGTGATGGGTCACCGACCATCAGCCTCCTAGCTCAGTTAATTACATTGGGTGAGACCTCTGCTCCTCCGAAGTTCGCTAAAGGGAATTACAGAATTGGGGGCAGGAAAGGTCTGGATCCCCACACCGAGGAAATGGCCACCGCAAGGCCAAGAGGAAGCCTCCCCAATCCCAAACCTGTATTTGGGAACTGTCATTTCAGGTTTCTAGTGATTATTTGTCACAGAACTCTCCCGTTACCTTGTTTATGGAGCTGTTGCTCCAGTTTGCTCCACGGGATTTACTCCAAAGTAATTGTAGGCAGGATTCTCTTTCGGATCTTCCATCCGAACTCCTCATAGGCCTCTGAGAAATCCGACGGTCAAACCGCACCGCCTGTGTGTACGCCCTGAAGATACAGGTACAGAACGAAGGAATGGCAGGAGGAGTGGAAAGCTCCCGCTCTGACAATAAGAGGGTTTCAAGAGTTGAGGGATTCTGTCCTCATGCAATGCACACCTCCTAACAGGAAGGCACCTCACGACACCAGTGCAAACTCTGTGTCTGGTGTATTATGACAGATCCACAGCAAGAAATTCCCTCCCTTCCACCACCCTCTTCTTTTGCCCATTGTAGAGCTCCATGCAGCTCATTCAATCTGCCCAGTTTTTAATCAACATGAAAGCGCCGCCGATCGTACGGGGGCTGCGTTTTAAAAATGTCGGCTATGTCGGATGTTAGCAAGGGAGCTCCCAGTGTGGACAGAAGAGTGTGGCAGGCATCCGGCTTGTACAGCACTAGAATTTTTGCAAGTAAGCATGCTCCCCACTTGCAAGTCTGATTTAGTGGCTTTCAGACTGCCGCACTCTTAAAAGCATCGGTAGAAATATCTATTTACGGGCCACTTTTGGCACTTTAGAAGGACCACATTTCAAGGAAATACCGCTCTCCTCCGCCCACCAGCCCTCTTTGCCAGATCTCTCAAGCGAACTCTTGCTAGAAACAATTCGCTTTTTAAAATAAAAATGTTGAACAATGGCAAGCGAAAGGATCACTTCCTTTCAGTTTCCGAGACTCACCTGATGTTAGTCCAACACCATGAGAATTATGCTCCCGATCAGAATGGCTAGAAATCTGATTTAAAAACAGCAGCAGCAACCACAGCGTTGAACTCCACTATCCACAGCAATGTAAATTGGGTTCCCAATTTTTTTTGCTCTCTTTGTATATTTGCACAGAACCGAAGGTGAGAAAAACCCAGCCTTTCATAGAAACCATATCCTCATGTCCTTCTGACAGCTTTAACACTCTGAGTCATAAATCATTTAGCAGAAATGATTTTAGCACTATGCGAATATCAAAAGCACATTGAAGGTTACATGACCTCCGGATTGCATCTGATCACGCTGGAAATCAAGTTGCTTTGCTGGGTGTGTGTGTGATCTCCTTTAATATGATCCTTCTGTCTACACAGGAGTCGCTGTCGTCCAGCTCCCCCGAAGTAGCCTTGCCAAAACAACGACACATTTGGGCATGCATCGGTGTCAGGCTGTATCATGACCTCCTGTGTGATTGTCACGGAGTAGTTCACACCTCAGAGCATGCCGCAAGGGGCTAAAGCACAGGCTACTTCCTCCTCTGGTCGTACCCTCGATGCGTGCTGCTATTTTTTTCCTGCAGAAATTTGAGCATCTGGTCGTACCCTAAGTCTTCATCATTGCTCTATGCGCCCTGCTATTTTTTTCCTGCAGAAATTTGAGCACCTCGGCAGCACCCTGGAATAAACCAGGTAGCCTTCCCTTTCTTGCCATCCTGCACGGTCATCTCAGGAAAACCAAGCCCAAGCTTCTGATATACGACAGGCACCCACAACTACATGTGCATGCTTGAGAGATGAACTCACAGACAGAGAGTAAAAGAGGTCCCTTCCTGCCCTAAATGGGGACGAGAACAGACCACAGCCTGCAAAATTGTTCCCAGTGTCAACGGTTTAGACTGTATGTTTTCTCTGCAGCTAATTGGCCTTGTGTTTTCACTGCAACATGGGATCAACAATAACCATGGCATCCTCCTGATCTGTTCTCATTTACTTGTTTGGCCCAAAGTTGGGTGCACATGAAAACTTAAGCTTTGAGGAAAAACTAAGAAGAGGCATGTAACAGTAACCACGGCATCTTCCTGATCTGTTCTCACCCACTCATTTGGCCTGAAGTCGAAAAGTTAAGCTTTGAGGAAAAACTAAGAAGAGGCATGGTTCCATTGTCAAACTGTTTTTTTAAAAACAACTTCTGATCATCCTGAATCCAAGTTGACCCTCAAACTGAAGCTTGACCTCACAACTAGGTGGTGAGGCTGAGCTGGGAGCTAGCTTCAAATCTGTATGTCAATCCGGCGCTAAATGGTAACACTTGGGAAAACCATGCCGTGAGGTTGTGATGCCAGTTTGGGAGCACAGGTGGCGCCATTGGCCAACTTAACCAAGAAACCCATCGCGGTGACTGTTCTCATTAGAATTCAAAAGTAAACGTGCAGATTTTGTTACCCAGGGGGTTTAACATCTTTTCACTTCTGCTCCATCAAATCTGGAGGTGATTATCCATGGGAAGTGATAGGGAAATCTGTAGCAAATTCCACTACAGCACAACTCTTGAGGAAAATCTCAAGAACGTTGACCAAAGCCTTAATCCACCCTCTGTAATTATTCTCATTTAGCTTCCATCTGTGGCCTTTCTCATGGATTTTTTAATTTTTTTTTTAAATTGCAGTCCCAGTTCTACCAGTGAAAATTCACCATCCTATACTAGAGAGACACAAGCATTCCTTCAAGGCCAACTCAGAGCCATTGTGAGGTAGGGGTTAGAGTGTTCAGAAAACCTGGGCTTATGGAAACATAGAATTGTTCAGCAGGAAAGGATCCCCAAAGGTCATCAAGTCTAGCCCACTGCTGAAGCAAGAAGTCCACATTTGCAGCATCCTTGACAAGTGGCCCTCTTATATTTTTATGGTTTTGAAACTATACCTCCCTTGATGGCTCCTTACAGGCAGAAAAAAATATTTCAATAAAATAATGAATAAAGGTTTTGGAAAATGGTGATATTTGATAAAACATATATTTTAACCAGCCAGAGCTCACAAACAGGGAAGCAAGGGAGGGAATGGATTGCTCTTGACCTTTGTGAAGCGTTCAAGATATACTGTATCTGAACATGGAGACTTTACTTAACAATCATGTCTAAGACCCAGAGCTTGGAGTGGGGGGGGGGAACCCCATCACTCTGTGGGACTATAACTCCCCGAAATCCCCCAGTCAAGCAATTTTATATAGGAGTTTCTGAAGCATTGTCTTTAAATACATATATCACTTTTTAAAAGCTCTGCATCACCATTAATAAACCTCTTCTGCATAGACGCGCCCGAGCCCTTTAAAAAGTCACTTAAGCCTTTAGACTCTTATATTCCCCCCCCCCGCGCCTGCACCCCTTATAGTGATAAAAGCCAATTTGAGAAGTTGGCTGGAGGTTGTGTTGCAATTTTTTTTTAAATCCAGGAAAGCAGCCACAGCTCTCCTGAGCTACCACCTGCACTTTGGCACTGAGCCCCCCCCCCGCAATAAACCTGACTCCAGTACATTGACTTAGCCGTTAAAAACGTCGCTGCTAATTCCAGCGCGTGCCCGGCTAATCTGTTCATCATATTTGCATTCCCGTCCCCTGTGGCTGCTGATTAAGAATATTTCAAAGACACGCAGTGCGCAGAAGAGCGACAGGTGGGTAAACAAAGGTGCGCCTGTCCACACATGTCTCGGTTGAGAAACATGTCACTGCGGGAGAGAAATGATCGTAGAATTGTAGAATCCTCGAGGTGGAAGGGACCTATAAGGTCATCAAGTCCAACCCCCTGCTTGATGATATTTGCTTAGTCCGAAGACCAAAGGAGAGCAATTTCCTTCCCCACACCTGTTTCAGCAGACTTTGGCTGTTTTTTCCCCCTGCCACATAGCAACATCCACTAGCAAGGACCAGATGGATTGTGAAACGGCGTGGTCACTTGCCCAGGATTATCGGTGACGTTGGTGTTTCAAACCTCATTCCACGCTTGCCATAATTGCGTCCCAGATCACCTCGTGAGCCGAACCGGAGAAAACGGACTCATCCCTGGGGTTCTGAATCCCTCAGTCTGGCATTCGGGTGTCCCCATTAGCTTTTAGATCCAGTGCTTGCCTGAGAGAATTTATTTTCAGCCAGGAAGAGAGTGTTGCCCTCTCATCCAAATACATGGAATATAATGGTTATGGGGATGCACTTGACATGGTTTGGGGCACTCTTTATGTGGGCCGGCCCAGCCATTTGGCAGAACAAGGTAGCCACCTTACATCGCTCTGGAAGTGCTCTTATTTTCCAACGAGCTTGTGGGTTGATGCGAACCCCAGATCTGTCCTCAGTAATTTGTCGCCTGAAGCAAAGTCCAAGATGGTGCTTCCCCCCCCCCCAATTCTGTGCCCTCAGGCGGACTTGATGGGCAGTTGAATCTTACTTCAACACCAAGGGATGGGGGGGGCATCTTGGGCCCCATTTGGTCTTGGACACACCACTCCCTCAGTACTTAGACCATTCCTTTTTTCTTGGCAAAAAACCAGAGGCGGCAAGAGATACACCTCGGCGTGCGTAGGTTCCTCCCTGAGCTAAGACAGCCTTCAGCGTAGGTTGCCCAAGACTCTTGCTCCACTCTGCCTCATGACAAGGGCTGGGATTGTTTGATGCCAACTTGAGTTTGAAGCAAATTCCATCATCTCCTTGTGATCTGTTTGGTCTTTCTCTAATCCATATGTATATAGTTCAGAAAATATTCCCACGCACTCCCCCCCCACCGACGCATCTCCAGTCAGGTGTACACACACACACACACACATACACACACACACACGCATGCACGCACACAACACGCACGCACATGCACACACACACACACACACCCCACAGAGAGAGACGAATATCCTTTACCTACAAATCAACCTTCTAAACTTCCCTGTTGACTGAGTGACCTCCAGGCCAAGAAGCAGGTGCCTCCCCCCCCCGGCTCTGTCAACACCCACCCCTCTTTTTCCCCTCCTGCTTGGGAAACAAGGATGTGGGGGTCAAAGACCAGGATATCTTTGTGAGGGTTTCGAATTTTGTCTCCTGAACGATCAGGATGTGTTGGGCTCCTTTCCCCCCTTAGAGAGCATCAGTCCTGGGCGTGGGTAAAATACACAGTATGTCGTTGATTCTAAGAACCAAAGAGTGTAAGCCTCACCTTCTTGGATCAAGGACCGGTCCAGCATCCTGCTTCTCACAAGGGTTATCCAGGTGTCTCAGAAAGCCTGCAGGCCGGAAGTGAAGAGGCTAGTCTGCCTTCACCGTTTTCCAACCAGACTCACTTTCATGACCTTCCCCAATGGGGATTGTAAGGGCCGGCCCAACTATAAGGCAAAGTGAGGCGGCTGTCAGAGGCACACCTTCTGGCCTGGCCTATACCTGGAATGACAGGACACCTGGTGGACCTTGACGAGTGGGCGACACCAACAGGGCCTGCTGACCTCTCTGCTTGGGGGTAGTAGAGGATGCTGGAATCAGGATCCAACTGATGGTCAAAATGGCCATTTGAATATGGAATTGGGGGGGGCATCATCTTGCCTTTGGCCTCAGGCAGCAAAATATTTTGGGTCAGCCCTGAGAATTCTGCTTTGACAAAGGGCTCTGTGAGATTTCTAAGCCAAACTATCTATCTCATGTTTTCCACTTTAACCAGGCCTGTTTTCACCATGCTAAATGTTGACTGGGTCCATCTCCGATCCATTAAGCCATTTTAATCCCATCGTGGAGGCTTAATGTTCTTGTGAGGGTTGGAAAGACGTCACACGCCATACCATAGCTGGGGAAACTATAAAGACGCGAACGATGTGCCGGTTGATCATCCTGCTGTACAGGTGTTAAACTGGATTCCAATAAACTCTCACAGATGAGTTCCATACAATGATTTCCCAAGCTTTAAATAGCTTCTTATCTCCAGTTACTGATCAGAGATAAGAGCAGAAGAATCTTGCAGGCCAGATGGGGAAATCCCCAGAAGGCCTTGTCAAATCCGGGCTCCAGATGTTTTCCATTTCACATTAAAGAAAAAAGAAAGAAAGAAAAAAGCTTTCAAATAGAGAATTGTTCTTGGTAAAGAAACACACATGGACATCCAGTGAGAATTGCGCTCCCACTCGAATTCAAGCCCCACCTCCCACAACAGTGCTTCCCTTTTATGTTTTGGTGCTTGATCTGCAGGAAAGGGCTAGCAATGTGGAACTGTGTCTATTAAAAGAGCAATATCTCCACTGCCCAGTCTGTTTGACAGATTGACAAGCCCTATTACTGAGTACAGATTAAGCAAGTAACAGAAGGGGGTACACAATGAGACAATAAAATACTGCGTCCGTTACATCATTGCCGTGGGAAGGGTGCATTTTTGTGGCTGCAACGTAACCACAGGGTGTTCCAGAACATCTGGAACAGTTCAGAGAGCTGGGCCACAATGCATCTCAGGCAGTGGAAGCCAGTTAGAGAGGACAGCTCCTTTGCTTTGTTGAATAGACTGGAGTGTTGTCTTTGGAGCTCTGAGTTCAAATGCTGATGTGACTGCAAAAAAGGAAATTGGTTTTGAAGGCTTGGTGCTCAGTTCCAGGAAGGGCCATCTTTGATCTGCCACGGAAGAAGCATGAAGCATCAGCGTGACTGGAAGACAGTTCTAGGAGAGCTATAAATCTTGAGAGGAAAGGACGGAGGAGAAGAGAGAACACAGGTGGGGGTTGCAATGTGCCGGAAAACGGTTTGGGCAGTCCTTGATTTATTTATTTTTAAAACACCCTGGGGGAGTTATTGTCTCAACGGATGGACATAATCTTGTCCTTCTCTGCTTTGACAGGGAACTCTGGCGATGACAGTTCCACGTGCAGAAGCTAACAACAGCTAAGTCTTGAAGATCAACCCCTTCATAAAACTACAACTCCCATAAATCCCAGGGAATGGGGTGAGAGAGCACAGTAAACCTAACCTTTACTAACCGCCACAGCTGTATCACAGCTGTGTTGTGCCCAACGCAAACCACACTCAGGACCTCTGACTGACATCCTCCTACCTGTGTCCCTTCCCATTCATGCCTGCTACCTTTCGTTTGTCTTTGGTACACTTATACCCCACTTTTTTTTCTCCAATGAGCTCAAGGTGGCATGCATGGCTCTCCTGTTCTCCCCTTTAGCCTCACAACGACTCTTGGATAGGACATGTGGGGGGGCAGCAACCCAGTGGATTTGATGACTAGGTGGGGACTAGAATGGCCCTCCCCGAAATCCCAGTCTGGTTTTCTAGCCACTACACCACCGGCTCCCACCCCTTCTTCAATGCCACCAGAGCGAGGTGCTGAGAAGGAGGGATGCGCCTGAGTTTCAGAGCAAGAACGCCTAGGCTAGACCTGAGCTGAGCAGTTGGTATGAGCTGGGGCTCAAAAAGGACGGAAGGTTCACAATGAGCGGAACCAGCTCCTGCTTGAATCGATGCGGTGTGAGCTCATTTTAGGACACACATCTCAAGATGTGCTGCGGGAAATGTTTTGGTGTTGCTTTCTGAAGTCCCGCCATCTTTAATGGGGATCTATTCAAGCATGTGCTCATTTCTTCCATGGGAACTGAGCGAATTTCAGCATCAGTGAATTTGACTTTGGATTTTGCCCTCCAAGCAAAGAGGAGGCTGAAGATACTGGGTTTTGAAGACAGGTCTTTTCCCATTTGTCTGGAAAAAATTTAAACTCTAATAGAGCAGAACATTCCGGATGCCTTTGGACATGATGCAGGTCTGATTTACACCCTTGTTGTTGTGGATCTAAAATTTCTTAGCTGCCTTTCCACTGATGGTACATTGCTTCAGATCCAGCTGTAAATCACCAGTGTCAACTGCTTCAAGTGATAAATTCTCCCATACGTGGCCCACATGCCTCGTGGATAAGACAGGGTTTGAAAACAAATAAATAACCAACACGACAGACTTAGCCTGCCCCAAGGCTCACGTTTCTGCTACTATGTGAAAGCCTCCGTTCTCAGATCACATGGGTAATTCCAGGCGACAGAGAGCGCGGCCATCTGTCTGAGGATTTCGAATCGTCCCCCTTTATTTATGAATTTGCCTTTCTACACATATAAGCAAATATTATGCAAATCCATCTCTCTCACACACACACACCAGGATCCTATTTTTTTAACAATATATTTTCTTTAGGGGTGTGCGCCCCTATGTAAATTGGCTGGGAATTCTGGGGCTTGTAGTTAAAAAAAAACTCCTCCAAAACTGGGGAGACCAGACACCAGTCAGAGACTTTCCCTGTGGAATTTCCTTCCCAGAAAACCCACACTGCGGGCCTTTCGGCCAAAACGTTTTTCAACAAAATTTTTGAGAACGTCTCGGATGTTTGTGGTTAAAAGCTGTCGCTTTTGAAATCTCACTTCTGATTTTTCCAAAACTGATCTCACATGAATTGTTTTTTTCCCCCCTTGGGTTTTAGATCTTGATATGGACCTTTGTGTTGCTGTTTAGGGCTTCGGTAGAGGCTGCTTTAAGGTCTCTTCCAACGCCAAGCAGTGACGGCGAGAACCAACAGGCCAATAAGGTAACACCACGATGATGCTCCCTACCTGTGTTTTGGCACCGCAAACCATCCATTTCAATATATCAACAGTTTGGGCACCATCCTTGGAAAGGAGACTGCATGCCAGGACGCTCTGTGGTTGCAGTCCATGCCAGGAAATCTTTCCTAGATTTGCTGGGTAGTTCCCAAAGACATCTGGAATGGTCTGCAAACATCTTGCCTGGAAACTGCCACCTTTCCCACTGCAAAGGGTCTCCCCAGCAGAGCCTGGTATATATTCAGATGAAGGTCTGGAGTTTTAAGCAAACACACTCGAAGGAGGAAAAGACCAATCAATAATAACAGAAAAGCAATCCTGTTTAGAATACATTTGTGTGTTTTGAGATTCCTGCTTTTTTTCCCAGAAAAAAACAGGCCAGGTAGAATTGGTTTTGTAAATATTGAACTCTTGCACATGCCAATGTGTTTCATAAGCTTGATGTCCTGTGTTTCAAAGCCAACGGGTTCGCTGTTCCAGGCAGCTTTCGTTGTCCTCGTTCAACCTCCCTAGCAGCAGCCACAAAAATTTGGGCTGCACCACAAGCGGGCACAGACGCTGTTCAGAAAGAAAGGGAGCAAGAAAGCAAGAACACAAGCAAGCAAGAATGCAAGCAAGCAAGCAAGAAACATCGCACCCGTGGGAGGAAGACAGACACTTCTTCTTGATGTTCCACATGACCATGAAATGCCTCCAAGGGATATGGAGTATTGGTAGCTACCATGTAATATCATATCCCTATCTTGTTTCTTTTGGGATCAGAGGTGGCAGAGAGAAGCCAAAGAGGTGGCCCAATGAACCTAATGTGTTTTTCATTCTTGATCATGGCTGAGCTTCCTGATTGTCTGGGAGTCCCGTATATAAACATCTGGTTCCTGTCTACAGGGAAGTTCTGGCCCGCAGTCCAAGATCTGCTGACTTTCTGAAAGATTCACCCAAGCACACACAGCCATGTTCCTCTTCTTCCTTTTATCATCATCATTATCTTGGAATGGCAGAGTTGGAAGGGACCCTATGGATCATCCAGTCTAGCCCCCCCCGTCAGGGTGGCACAGTTGGGGAATCAAATTCCTGGTCTCTGGCTCCGCAGCCGGAGACCTCCATCCCTGAGCTATCCAGGCCTCTTGTCCTGTTCCTCATCCGATGCAGGCCTCTGCCATAAACTACCTTGTCTCACCCGTCAACTCAGCAAGACTGAATTTAGCCCCACTGAATTAATTGTGGGCATGAGCTTTCATGGATGTAGCTTACATTTTCTGCTGCACAAAATACAATATTCAACCCACAGGTTTACATGCAGAGAAGTTCCAGTTTTTGGACTGGGCTAGAATGAAAGGGGGTACATAAAACAACAGTTGAATTATTTTAAAAGTTTATGACCAGTATTTATAACACTCTCATGAGAAGAGAAGACTCCCTGGAAAAGACCCTGATGTTGGGAAGGTGTGAAGGCAAGAGGAGAAGGGGACGACAGAGGACGAGATCGTTGGACAGGGTCATCAAAGCGACCAACATGAATTTGACCCAACTCTGGAAGACACGAGGGCCTGGTGTGCTCTGTCCATGAGGTCACAAAGAGTCGGAGACGACTAAACGACTAAACAACAAAATTTTTAACACAATTG